TGGCTGGTCTCTGACTCTCTTTTCTCTCTCTCTCGCTCTCTGAGTCACTGATTTCACTCACTCACTCACTCTCTCGACCCTCTGAGTCACTATTTTCATTCACTCACCTCTCTCTCTCGCTCTCTCACTCACTCAATCACTCACCACTCAGTCTACTCTCTATCTCTCTCTCTCTTTATGATTATCCAATCACTCTCTCACTCACTCACCCAAAAAACCCTTTCTCGTCCCTCTCTCGCTAATATTTCTCTCTATTCTCTTCTTCTTCGCTCTTGACTCTCTCTCTCCGCTCTCTGAATCTCTCTCTCTCTACTCTCTCTCTCTCTCTCTCTCTCCTCTCTCCATCTCTCTCTCTCTCTCCTCTCTATCTTCTCTCTCTCTTCTCTCTCTCTTCTCTCTCTCTCTCTCTCTCTCTCTCTCTCTCTCTCTCTCTCTCTCTCTCTCTTCGCTCCCTATCTCCGCTCTCTCTCTCTTTATTTGTCGCTCGCTGAATCTTTTTTTATCTCTCTCTCTCTCACTCTGATTCTCTCTCTCTTTCTGACTCTCTATCACTCTCTGAATGTCCCTTTCTCTCATGAATCTCTGCACTCTTCGATCTCTCGTTCATGATTCTCTTTCTCTCTCTCCGCTCTATGGTTCTCCACTCTCGCTCTCGGCTCTCTTTTCTCTCTCGCTCTCTGACCCTCTCTCTGTCTGCTCTCCGACTCTCTATCTCGAGCTCTGACTTCTCTCTCTCGCTCTCTGCCTTCCTCCCTCTCTCAATCTCTGATTCTCTCTTTTCTCTGCTCTCCACTGTCTCTCTTTCTCTTTCTCTCTTCTCTTCTTCCTTCTCCTTGCACTCTGACTCTCTGATCTCTCTCTCACTCTCTCTCTCTCTCTCTCTCCGCTCTATCTCATCCTCTCTCTCTCTCTTACTCATCACTCAATCAATCACTACTCACTAACTCACCACCTCACTCACTAACTCATTCAGTCTATTACGCATTCCCTTTACGCATTCACTCTCCTTCGTTTAGTTATTTATTTAAATCATTATTCCCTCACTCACTCTCCCAGTCACTTCGTCCCTCTCTCGCTATTTTCCTCTCGCTCTATGACTCTCT